CAAAGGAAGAAAAATACCTGCAGCTCTTCCATAAGAGAAGAGTACCTGCAGCTCTTCCATAGGAATAAGAACACCTGCAGCTCTTCCACAGCTTTCCTATAGGAAGAACGTTACATGCTGCTGTCCTATAGGAAGAAGAATACCTCCAGGTCTCCTTAAATATTTATAGGATCGATTGTTTTGTATATTTATTAATATGTAGTATATACATAACCAGTTGTAAATTAATTTGCATCCATTTGCAACAAGTGGTTTCCATAATCATTGGTTTCCGAACCCTGATATCTCTTAGGTGTATCTACCTGCAAATAATAACTCATGCATCCAGCACATGTTTAATACAGATTGTTTGCGGAATAAAATTTGCATTTAATTAATTGGTATTTTCTTACGCAAAGGTGTTTTATAGTTGCAGGTTAATGTTTGTCTTTTCATCGCTTGTGGTCCGCCCATAAAAACCAAATTCAAAAATGAGATCATTATGAAATTAATAAACTTTAAGATAAATTCTGTAAAAATTATATAAGACTTGGGTTTAAATGGTAATTTTAAAAATTAATTAATTTAAAAATTTTATTTGTTAAATATTAGTTATCATTATTTATGTACATTTTATGACATATAAATAATTTTAGTAGTAGCACTTGTAATCCTCCTCAGTGGTATAAGACAAATATAACAAGTTCCCATAAATATTAACCACACCCTATGCAAGGTCAATTTAAATAACAACAATTGACAATTTCCAACGCTTTACATGGCTCAAATGCCAGTTTCAATAATCCATGCTATTCTGATTAATAATTACACTGGTCTACAGAAAAAAAACCTACACAAAAAATATATCCAAAAAGAAACGATAATTACCTAGAAGAGAGGTGAAACAGGTTTGACATCAGGGACGACCTAAAGCCGGAAAACTCCTGGGACAAGTCAATCGGAGAGTTTTTTGTATAGACTCCAGTGGGGAAATTAAGAAAACTTTTATAGTTTTTTTTATTGACGTGCAGTAGCATCGAGATTACCCATACAAGCAGGCAATCTTGTATAATTTATAAATACCCATTATCCCACGCCTATGATAGACCTGAGAAAACATTCTAAAAAATAATCATATATATTTAGACCAGGGAAAGATATTAATTAACAAAATTTGAACTCCAAACCACTTCTGTGATACAAATTTAGAAAAATCCACGCCTATAATTGACCCTGAAAAATATCCTTAAACCAGTGAGCAGAGCAGTATAGACGGACGGGGCCGACCATACACAACTACCACGGAACTCTAACATTCTGCGGGTTTTTATTCCGAGCCTGGGCAATATTTCGTGGTAGTTGCATCCTCTTGCCCGATTAGAGGTCAACAGCACCACTTCCTTACACTGACATATTTTCCGAATATAACTAATATTCAGTACAGTCCTTCTAATTACTTGTCCATATTCCCTTCATGGTGGGTTGTGTTGCGATGTTCGGCTTAAAATATAATCAAAAAAAAAAAACACAAAAAATTAAGTATTTCACTTCATCCCACAATTAGTATCTGATCATCATCGAAAATTATAGGCGTTGTTCTTGAACATAGCCGGAACCTCATGGAACATATCAAAATGATTACCGCTATATATTCCGCCCTGCAGTGCGGTAATGGTTTACTAAATAATATATGAATACGCAAGCTCCTGAAAATATTTACGTGTAACTCCCACATCCGATTAGATACGACAATATAATTGGTATCAATTTCAAAGGTCAACCACTCCTCTTTGATATACTATCAACTTCTCGGGTCTATGTCCATCAGGAACATAGAATACACATTTTGTCATTTTTCACACAAAAGTCAGGTTCCATTTGACCCATTAAATATTGACCGATCTTTATCAAAACAAGCATGCTTATTCTTTGACCCGATCCCCTTCTCCATGTGAAAATTTGCGATGTTTGGGCCATAATTGCGACCAGAAAAACCGATAAAAATTAAGTATTTGGTCCATTTCGTCACCTAAATATTAACCGATCTTTACCAAAAACAATAGGAGTCTTCATTGGCCAGAACCGGTACTACAAGCAAAATTTCGTGAAGATTGGTCCATAACTGTGGTCTGTATCGTGTTTACAAAATATAATGGACAGACGGACGGAAGGACACACATGTCTAGATCGACTGAGCTAGTCAAGATATGACGATCGGTATACTTAAAGTTGGGCCTAGGACCAATATTTCGCGGCGTTACAAACTCTTGGGGCTGCACAAAGCAATAATACCCTGATAACATAATTGTGTAGGATATAAAATCCTTAGCCTATGATTGACAATGGCAAATATTCTTAGAAGTTACAACCATATGATATACTTTAAAAGGTATTCCAAAAAAAATCTTCGCCTACGATAGACCTCCAAAAAATAGCATCTGACAAAATATGATTTACAAACCAAGGCGATGAAAAAATAATTGTTTAAAAAAATCAACATCTATGATGAACTCTTTACATTTTTGAAATATCGATGTATACATAAAAAAATGTATTCTTAAAAAATCCAAACTGAAGATCTGCTGGAGCTTTAAACATATTCTTAAAAATTCCACGATCACTTCTGCTCACCTATAAACGATTCCGTTCTGATGTAAAGAATATATTTCATCAGCTTGTTTTTAGATTTGACCAGATCCTATAGTAACTCCCATCAGATCTTCTATCGAAAACTTCATTTAGCTTATCTATGGACGGCTTATTTCAGTTCACCTATCGAAGACAATCTCCAGCTGGTGGCTAGGAAATACTCCATTGAGTTCGTCTATAATATGGACTCCCTTAAGTTCGTCCACAAAAACGAAGAAGAGAGTCGTTTCTATAGGAAAACTTTCTTGCAGATCGAAGAAAACTCCTCTAAACTCGTACATACAAATGACTCCTCCAGATATATATATATATATATACGAAAGATTGCATTCAGATGATTTATAGGATAGGTTTCCTTCAGTTCGTCTATAGAAAATAAATAGTCTTTTCAGGTCGCCAATAGGAACCAGTAAGGAAAGGAGTAAAGTCGGACGGGGCCGACTATATGATACCCTTCACCACTATGGTTATATTAAACAGGACTATTAACATGAAATTGGATGAAATAAAATATGTGATATTTATCTAAATGTGAATCTACCTAGATCTATCCATAAAGTATGTAAATCGACTTCAAACAAATATAAATAGGTCACCCGTTGGGCTATGTCTGTCAAATTTCGTGCAAATCGAAAGATTTATAGCGACTTTGGTCCACCATTTACATGAAATCGGACAAAACTATATATGGAAGCTATATAGAAATCTGGACCGATTTTCTCAAAACTTGGCAGACGTCATTCTAGGCTCAATTCAGTACGTTATGCTAAATTTCGTGCAAATCGAAAGATATATAGGGACTTTGGGGCACCATTTACATGAAATCGGACGAAACTATATATGGGAGCTATATCTAAATCTGGACCGATTTTCTCGAAACTTCGCAGACATCATTCTAGACCTAATTGATTAGGCTATACCAAATTTCGTGCAAATCGAAAGATATATAGGGACCGTTTACATTAAATCGGTTAAATATATATATGGGAGCTATATCCAAATCTGAACCGATTTTTCCCAATTTCAATAGGGTTCGTCCTTGTACCGAATAAGTGACCTATGCCAATTTTCATCCAAATCGGAGTATAAATGCGACCTGTACTTTGTTTGCAATTTAACACCAACAGACGGACAGACGGACGAACGGACATGCATAAATCGACTCAGAAAGTGATTCTATGCATATTCTTAAAAGGAACTATGGGTCTATCTCGTTTCCTTTTGCCTGTTACAAACATATGCACAAAGACATAACACCCTGTACCACAGTGTGGTGAAGGGTATAAAAATTATTTTCAGGTCGTCTATAAACTCCCATCAGCTTATAAATCGAAGAATTCCTCACTTTAGCTCAAACCGAAAGACTCCTACAAATCGTCTATGGGTACGACTTTCTTCAGCTCGTCTATAGAAAATACTCCTTCATCATGTCGATACGACAGGCTCCCTTCAGTTCTCAAAATGAAATACTCCGTTCTGCTCGTTTACAGGAAAAATCCCTTCAAGTCGCCTATATGAACCACTCCCCTTCTGTTCATCAATCGAAGAATTTCTTCAGCACATCTGTCGAAAACTCCCTTCAGCTCGTCGAAAGCAAATACTCCACTCTGCTCGTCATCAGAAAAGAGCAGTCCTGGTCGACTAAAGGACAGACTTTTTAATGACGTCTACACGAAACACTCCCTAAAGCTCGTCTCTGGAAAGGACTCCTTCAGTTTATCTATAGAAAATACTAATTTCGTCTACTCTATAGGAAAGGCTGCCTTAAATTTTTTCAGGTCGCCTAATCGAAATTTTATATTCAGGTCATCTAACGAATCGCTTCATCTCATCTATAGAAACTCCCGCCTACAGTTCACCTGTGGAAAACCGACTTCAGGTCATCTATACAAAGGACAACCTTCAGTTCGGCCAAAAAAAAAAAAAAAAAAAAAAAAAGAAAAAAAAAAACTTCCTTCACCTCGTCTATAGGGAAATCTCCATTCAGCTCATCTACAATGGCTCCCTCCGTCATCTAGCTTATAAAATGCAATTCCCTGATCTAAACCATCCGATCTAAACCAATCAACTATTGAATATTACAATTAAAATGCAATGTTTGAGGCCATAAATTATCAAATGCAACACTGCAGAAAATTATATTCCACTTCTTTTCGATTAAACAAATCGCTCATAGTAACACTGATCATAAATATTAATTTAGCAGCTCGGCTCGTAATAGGGTAATATGATATCACACTCAAGTAGGTAGCGCGATACAGAAAATGCATCAAGCAGAACAATAGAACATCGAAGAGAACAAACAAATGGCTTGTCAAATGAAGGGTAACTTAAAAGGAGGGGGGGAGGGAAAGTGTTGCCATATATGTTACATTAAACAAAGCTGCCGCTGCAGAATAGGGAACTTTAGCAGTTAACTGTTGCTGGCGGGGGGTTGTGATGGTGGTGTTGTTGTTGGCGTACTGAAAACTGACATGTTGGAAATATATTGACACCAACAACAAGATTTCAGGTTCAAGTGCAACAACTGGAAATTGATTGGGGCAAACCATATTAAATGACCACAAATCAATTGGAACGCCAACAATTGTCACACACCACCAGCAACAACAACAACAATTATAGATACCGTCAGACAGACAGACAGCCAACGAGCAAGTGAACACTGGTTTTGGAAAGACGTCTTGGTAAGACTATAGCCCCGGAACATGTTAATGCCAATCATTAGAGTGGGGTTGTGAAGTAGTGTCCCAAGGGGGTTGCAACCAGAATCTAATGGCTGATGCAACACTTCGACTCACTGGCTATGCCAATGCATTATGGGGAGTCTCCCATATGGGTGTTTGTTTGCAGCACTCGTTCATATGGTGTTCGATTAATATATAAACCATGGCATAATTTCGAAATAACATCAAACAGTTCTCAGCCCTTCTAGTGAAAACACATTATCTAGCAAACGCTAACTCAAAACCACTCAAACCAAACAAAATGTTCAAATACGTAAGTGCAAACCGAAAGGAGTTTTCCAAAATGAAAAATTACAAAATTACATTTCTATTTCCATCTCCTAGATCGCTGCTGTCTTCGCTCTATTGTTGGCCTTTGCCGCTGCCGTACCAGCTCCTGTTCCAGCCCCTGCCCCAGCACCAGCTCCCGCACCATCTCCCAGCATTTTGCCAGTGGTGCCCGGACCAGTTGTGAGCTATGTCGGCCATCCCTTGGTTGGCCCCGTTGTCCGTGTAGTTGGTCCCTATGGCCCAGTATATCCTGGCCACGTTGTTGTCGGTTAAGCCAAGGAATCGAACTGATCACAGCCATACTTGCCAATCTTGCTTACAAAACAAAACAAAACGCCTGCTGCCGTCCCTTTTCTTCTCATTTTGCAATGTCATAGTTTTCGTTTGGAGATTTCCTTTGGAATTAACCATCGTGTCGTGCCGTACCCTGTATTGTGGAATTTTATTTTCGTTTTCTTAAATCATTTTTTTATAATTTTTATAATTTTATTTTATGATTTACTTTTTGTCTGTCTATCTCATTAACCATCATCTTTTATTGCTAAATAAATATAAAAAAATGTAAAAAATAATAAACATAATTTTTGTATGCAACTTCTAAATGAATGCATGTGCTCACTAATACTGTTGTGAGAGTGTGTGAGTGCGATGTTAAACAAATAAGCGGAGAGCCTAAAAGTATGCTATAATGCAATTGAATGACTTTTGAATAAAAACAAACCATTCGAAATATATAATGAAAGAGAAAGCTAAAGAATTGAGGATTATAATCGAATCTACGCCCTCAGTAGGACTACTGGCGGACATATCACTAGTTTCCTATTGAAATGATGAGCTATAATGATTTTCGTCTATAAAAGGCCTATACAGTATTTGTAATTTTCATCTATAGAAGTCTAGAAGGTCTTTTACTAAATGTTTAACACCAGAACGCCTATAAAAAGTCATGTTTTCATAAGCGGGATAATTGTAGACCAAAAGAAGACTACAAAGAGTCTAGTATTAGGCAAATTCAGTTCGCCTAAATATATCTTTTCAATGGAGAATCAGAAGACACCCAAGGAACCGTCCACGGGAGATACTCCCTTCATCATGTCTAAAAGAAGAATTCCTTCAGCTCGTCTATACGAAGGGCTCCCTTCATCAAGTCTTTAGAAGACCACCGACAGCTCATTAATAGGAAGGACTTTCTTCAGCTCGTCTATAGAGAAACTACATGCAGCTCGTCTATAGGAAAGAATCCCTCAGCTAATCCATTGGGAAACACACCCTTCTGCTCGTCTGTAGGAAAGACTCCCTTCAACACGTCTATTGAAAACTTTCTTCAGTCGATGTAAAAAAAAACTTCCAGTAGAGAAACTACATTCAGCTCGTCTATAGGTAAGAATCCCTCAGCTAATCCATTGGGAAATACTCCCTTCTGCTTGTCTGTAGGAAAGACTCCCTTCAACACGTCTATTGAAGACTTCCTTCAGTCGATGTAAAAAAAAAATTCCCAGTAGCTCGTCTATAGGAAAAACTCTCTTCAGTCTATAGGAAAGACTCACTCAGCTAATCCATGGGAAATAATCCCTACTGCTCGTCTGTAGGAGAGACTCCCTTCTACACGCCTATTGAAGACTTCCTTCAGCTCGTCGATGTAAAAAAAAACTCCCAGTAGCTCGTCTATAGGAAAAACTCTCTTCAGGTCATTTGAAGCTACGAATCACTTTTCCCTCACTTCACATCGTCTATAAGAAATATTGCTTTCAGCTCGCCTGTAGGAAAGACACTCGACAATTATTCAATAAAAATAACTCGTCTTGAAAGGTTGTCCACAATTCGTCTAATAAAAAATATTTCCTATAAAAACACCCTTCAGCTCTTCAATGGAAGGAAATCGACTTCGAGAGATTATCCTTTTTCCGTTTATATGCAAAAATCCCTTTCAGATCGTGCATAGGAAAGTCTCTATTCAATTCCTGTATAGGAAGGAATACTTCAGATTGACAGTAGGAAAGGCGCCCTTCAGATTGTCAATAGGAAAGATTTCTTTTGTGTTTGTCTGCAGGACCGAAATATTTCTTGTCTAGCAAAAGAACTCCCTACAAAAGACTACCTTCAGATTGTCTGTGTCGTCTTTAGAAACAACTTTCTTCAGCTCATTTGGAGAAAAGAGTCACCTTTCCCTCTCTTCACATCGTCTATAAGAATGATTGCTTTCAGCTCGCCTGTATGAAAGACAGTCAGTTCCTCAATAGAAATAAGTCGTCTTTGAAAGATTATCCTCAACTCGTCTGTAAGAAATACTTTATTCAACTCGCCTGTAGGAAAGACATCCTTTAGCTCTTCAATGGAAACAACTCGTGTAGGAAATTTTCTTCACAGTTCGTCTATAGAAAAAAACATTATTCAGCTCTTCAATGTAAGGAACTCGTCTTCGAAAGATTATCCTTTTTCCGTTTATATGCAAAATTCCCTTTCAGATCGTCTATAGGAAAGACTCCATTCAGCTCCTGTATAAGAAAGAATATTTTCAGATAGACTGTAGGAAAGGCGCCCCGTCTATAGGAAATGCGCCCTTCAGATTGTCAATAGGAACGATTCCTTTTAGCTTGTCTGCAGGAAGGAAAAATTGTTTGTCTACCAAAAAGACTCTTTACAAAAGACTATCTTCAGATTGTCTGTGTCGTCTGTAGGAACAACTTTCTTCAGCTCATTTGGAGAAAAGGCTCACTTCTCCCTCCTTCACATCGTCTATAGAAAAGATTCCTTTCAGCTCGCCTGTAGGAAAGACACTCGTCATTTATTCAATAGAAGAAAGACTTCCTGAAACTTTCTCTAATGGAAAGGCGTCCTTCAGTTCGTCTATACGGAAGACTCCCATCAGCTTGCCCATAGAAAAGACATCATCATTCAATGGAAACAACCCGTGTATGAAAATTTCTCCACAGTTCGTCTATAGAAAAAAACTCCCTTCAGGTCGTCTTCGGCAGATTCTATTCAATGCCTCTAAGAGAAGATTCTATATATAGGAAAGACTCCCTTTGGGGACAGAAAATACTTTCTTCAGTAAACATTCCTTTCAGCTTGTCTACAGGAAGGAATGATTTTCTCTACAATTCAGCTCAGTCAATATAAGTAATCGGTTTATAAAGATTATCCCCATTTCAAGGTCCAACTGACTGGATTTTAGTTCCTCTATAGAAAAGAATCCTTTCAGTTCGTCAATAGGAAAATATTATTTTGTCTACAGGAAATTTGTCTCGTCTATAGGAACACCTCCCTTTAGACATTTGTATGAAAGACTCTCTTCAGCTTGTCTATAGGAAATACTTCGACTCGTATATAGAAAAACTCCCCCCAACTTCTCAGTAGCAAAATCTCTCTTCAATCCGTCTATATTAAAGCATCCCTTCAGGTCCTCCATAGGAAAAACTCCCTTCAGGTAGTCTAAAGTAAAGACTATCTTTAACTCGTCGATGTACAGATCATGTATGGAAGACTTCCTTCAAGTCTTCTATGGAATACACCCATTAGCTCGTCTATAAATTAAAGACTTTCCAGACATCATCAGACATAGGAATGGCTCTCATTAGCTCTTCTGTAGGTCAAATTACCTTCAGCTTGTTCATTTATGGCACATTCAAGGTATTCCTTCGATCGCATTATTATATAAAAATATAGACTATTTCTAATAATAATTAAATTAGTCGATCGAAGAAAAAAAAATATGGGCAGAAGACCTAAAATTGTATGTCGATATGTGAAACAGGTTCAAAACATGACTCAGCATTTCACTTCGAAATTCGAACCCAAAACCCATATGAAAACATGGACCTATATTGAAGTATTTCAGGAACATTTGTTTTCAACCTACTACTACGGTCCAAAAAAGCGGCTAAAATCCGCAAAATAAACAAATAATGCTGCATTGTTACAACCCAAGACGAATTTTTCACCCCCAATTAAAAAAATTAAAAAAAAAACAAATCATTTCTTTCAAATAGATTATATTTTAATAACAAAAACTTATTCAATATCGGCTAACAACATTTTCACCCATTCCTCTAATGATGATGGACTGTTGTGTACAAAGGAGCAGAGTGGACAACTGGAACAGAGTGTACAACGGGAGCAACATGATGGACAACTGGAGTATGGACGGTCTTAACGACTGGAGCAACATGATGAACAGTCTTGACAACAGGGGCAACATGATGAACAGTCTTGACAACAGGGGCAGCATGAACAGTGGTCTTTACAACTGGGGTATAGACAGGTTGTACAACAGCTTTGTTATGGACTTGGGTAATACTTTGATGTGACACAGCCGAGGGTGCGGAGTGTACAACATGACCAACTTTGGCTACAACGGGTTCATGTACAACATGATGGGTTTCCACGAGACCAGCTGAGACGGCTGAGGCCAAGCAGAGGGTGGCGAAAATGGCAGCCTAAAGAAATATTAAATATTTAATAAATAAATTATGAAATTATATTTGAATAAAATTTTTCGGTTGACTAGAAACTTACGAATTTGAACATTTTTGTTTAATGAGTTTTTTGAAGTTGTATCTAAGACAAACGAATTGTTACTGATGCCCTAAGAACGTGGAGTTGAAGTTTTTATACCAAAATTCTCTGCAGATCTCTAATGATGTCTGTAATCGATCGGTTAATTATGCTGGTCCACCTTGAAGACAGTGCACCGGTAATCCCTAGTGGGTTTCTTGTATGTTGGCCCTTTTGAGATAACAAAAACATCAACTCCATAACCTATTGTCATAACTCCAATCACTGCAAGCCATTAGCTGTGATAACGCAGTGGCAGAAGAAGAAGACAAATAAAAAATAACACCAACCAGTCAGATGTCGTTGTTAACGATCAGTGGCCTAACCAGCCTCCACACCAGACAAAAAATTATGTCAGTAGTATGCATGCGTTTTCTGTCCAAGCCCAGTCATATTTTGATTGAGTTGTTTGTTCGATCAAACAGGTACTTATAGCAGCAAGCCTGTCAGTAATCAAGCTGATCGCAATGAAGGCCGTTTTTATGATTATTTTTGTTTTTATTCGACAGCTACCGTATGACGGATTACTGTGGGCTTTGTTCAGACTGCGCCTTAAGATACACATAATTTTTGGTATATGGTAATACTTCCCTTATGTGCGAGCATTAAAAGGTTTTTTTCTGCTAAAATTTGTTGGATAAGGTTTGAAGGTTTGATTTGGTTAAACAAAAAAAAAATACTCACACACAAACAAATAAACTAAAAAAGTATACTGAACACCAATCAAGAGTATAATTTGTATATAAACTCCGCAATTGGAGTTCTAAGGTATCAGTTGTAGCTTAATTTTCAACAACTTCAAACCCAACAAAAATGTTCAAATTCGTAAGTGCATCAAATAATTTTAGTATTCAAAATCAAATATAATCCTAATGAAAAAAATCTTCTTCAATAGGCTGCCATTTTCGCCACCCTCTGCTTGGCCTCGGCCGTCTCAGCTGGTCTCTTGGAAACCCATCATGTTGTGCATGAACCCGTTGTAGCCAAAGTAGGTCATGTTGTACACTCCGCACCCTCGGCTGTGTCACATCAAAGCATAACCCAAGTCCACAACAAAGCTGTTGTACAACAAGACTGTTCATCATGTTGCCCCTGTTGTAAAGACTGTCCACCATGTTGCTCCTGTCGTCAAGACCATTCACACTCCAGTTGTCCACCATGTTGCTCCTGTTGTACACTCCGTTCCAGTTGTCCACTCTGCACCTTTGGTCACCGTCCATCATCATTAGAGGAAGTGTTGAAAATGTTATTAGCCGATATTGAATAAGTTTTTGTTATTTAAATAAAATATTTGTTGAAAAAAAAAATATTTTCACTTTACTTTTGGATTAAATATTGGGTATTTCGAAAATTAAAGAATATTTTTCAAGGGCCAATTTGAGGCGTGGCAAAAAATTTTTCAGGGCCATAACAAAGAAAGGTTTTTTTTCAAGAGCCATTTTTCAAGGGACATTAGGCGTGGTGGATTTTTTAAAGAATGGATTTTTTTCAAGAAACATCAGAACATTAGGCGTGGATTTTTATTTTCAAGGGCCAACTGAGGCGTGGATTTATTAAAGAATATTTTTCAAGGGCCAACTGAGGCGTGGATTTATTAAAGAATATTTTTCAAGGGCCAACTGAGGCGTGGATTTATTAAAGAATATTTTTCAAGGGCCAACTGAGGCGTGGATTTATTAAAGAATATTTTTCAAGGGCCAACTGAGGCGTGGATTTATTAAAGAATATTTTTCAAGGGCCAACTGAGGCGTGGATTTATTAAAGAATATTTTCAAGGGCCAACTGAGGCGTGGATTTATTAAAGAATATTTTTCAAGAAACATCAGAACATTAGGCGTGGATTTTTTAAAGAATATTTTTTTCAAGAAACATCAGAACATTAGGCGTGGATTTTTTAAAGAATATTTTTTTCAAGAAACATCAGAACATTAGGCGTGGATTTTTTAAAGAATATTTTTTTCAAGAAACATCAGAACATTAGGCGTGGATTTTTTAAAGAATATTTTTTTCAAGAAACATCAGAACATTAGGCGTGGATTTTTTAAAGAATATTTTTTTCAAGAAACATCAGAACATTAGGCGTGGATTTTTTAAAGAATATTTTTTTCAAGAAACATCAGAACATTAGGCGTGGATTTTTTAAAGAATATTTTTTTCAAGAAACATCAGAACATTAGGCGTGGATTTTTTAAAGAATATTTTTTTTTTCGTGGATTTTTTAAAGAAACATCAGAACATTAGGCGTGGATTTTTTTAATGAATATTTTTTTAAGACACATCAGAACATTAGGCGTGGATTTTTTAAAGGATTTTTTTAAAGAAATTATTTTTTTAAAGAAATTTTTTTCAAGAAACATCAGAACATTAGGCGTGGATTTTTTAAAGAATATTTTTTGCCAATAAAACATCTGAAGAACATTAGGCTTTGTGTGATTTATCCAATTCAATGCCATTCGAATATTTTAAGAAAAAAACATAATGTAGCACAACTAATCACCGGCTAAATCTAGACAAATGTCCTTAAAATAAACTGTTGTTATGTTAATTTATTTTTTGGGTTAATAAACGAAAATTACAACCCATCCAAAACAAAACAAAAAAAACATGTTTACATTTTTTATTCATTTTCAGAATTGGCCCGATAATCACAGCTCCTTTAATTGAAATCTGCAGAGATTCAAGATTAATTGAGATAGGTAGCTGAGCGGAGGCATGACATTATTCAGTGGTCAAATTTATGCCTTTTTCATGGAGCACTTAAGTGGCACTTGTACGCAAAAAAAAACTAAAAACACAGAAAATCCCAGCAAATATAAACACACAGCCACAAAAAAATTCCTTTAATTGCGGTGGCGCTAAAAACAAGACCTGCTGTGTTAACTTTTTTCAGCTACCACAAAATGTGGTGATTCAACAACAGATGCTAACTTTTTAGCCACAGCCAATTTAAAAAAAAGAAAAAACAAAACGTATTTTTTATTATTTTTAAGGGAGGTTGTTTATTGATGTCCATGTGACTGTCATGACAGCCAGCCAATATTTGTTCGTCTTAAAGAAAAAAAACAATCTTAGCTTGACCGTATGCATAAGGGATACAAAACATGACAATGAGATAATAATGTATGAAGCGTTGAAAATTCGATAATACATGGCACAATCTTGATATTAAAGATATATTCAATATTCAAAAATATTATTTAACACATAAATATATTAAAATATTTCAACATTTATTAAAAAGATAGGAACGTTTTTTAACAAATCGACCCCTAAAGCTCTGATGACCCATAAAAAATAATCTTTAAAAATCCACGCCTATTGGTGGCTCTTGAAACATGCAATTCTATTATTATTTCTTTGAATATTTTGAGATGGTTATAATCGTCTTTCGCAGCAGTGGGCTGTAATCTAACCATCTGTTAATCATTCGTTTACACTTCTTGCTGTGATCTATAAAAAAATAGAATGTTTATAATTCCAGAAACCAAAGGTGGGTAACCTTGATTTTCTGTATTACAACCAAGAATGTTTACAACTGTTTGGGCTTAACACAAAAGGCCATTAACAGCAACTGCCTGAGCAAAAACAACATAGACCCCAAAATAATAAACGACAATAATAACCACAACAATGGGCACTTAAAGGGCATCCAAAACATAATTTCAATTACAATTCCAACAATCATTGTAATCGATCAACAACAGAATCGAATGAGCAATGTCAACGGTGTAAAGTTCAATCATATTCGATGGTGCTTTTTTTGAATAATGGAGTTCTGCAATTATTTAATAATAATCTATGTGCATTGATTCTTGTAGAGAAAACATTTAAATACCAGTAAGGAAAGTAGTAAAGTCGGACGGGGCCGACTATATGATACCCTTCACCACTATGGGTATATTAAACAGGACTATTACAGGACTATTCGTGCAAATCGAAAGATATATAGAGACTTGGGTGAACCATATACATGAAATAGAAACTATATATGGGAGCTATATAGAAATCTGGACCGGTTTTCTCGAAACTTGGCAGACATTCATTCTAGACTCAATTCAGTACGTTATGCCAAATTTCTTGCAAATAGAAAGATATTTAGCGACTTTGGTGCACCATTTACATGAAATCGGACGAAACTATATATGGGAGCTATATCTAAATCTGGACCGATTTTCACGAAAAAAGGCAGACATCACTCTAGGCTCAATTGAGTACGTTATGCCAAATTTCGTGCAAATCGAAAGATATATTGCGACTTTGGTGCATCATTTACATGAAATCGGACGAAACTATATATGGGAGCTATATCTAATTCTTGACCGATTTTCACGAAACTTGGCAGACATCATTCTAGACTCAATTCAGTACGTTATGCAAAATTTCGTGCAAATCGAAAGATATATAGCGACTTTGGTGCACCATGTACATGAAATTGGACGAAACTATATATGGGAGCTATATCTAAATCTGGACCGATTTTCTCGAAACTTGGCAGACATCATTCTAGGCTCAATTCAGTACGTTATGCCAAATTTCGTGCAAATCGAAAGATATATAGCGACTTTGGTGCATCATTTACATGAAATCTAATGAAACTATATATGGGAGCTATATAGAAATCTGGACCGATTTTCTCGAAACTTAGCAGACATCTTTCTAGGCTCAATTCAGTACGTTATGCCAAATTTCGTGCAAATCGAAAGATATATAGCGACTTTGGTGTACCATTTACATGAAATCGGACGAAACTATATATGGGAGCTATATCTAAATCACGAAACTTGGCACACATCATTCTAGACCTAAATGATTAGGCTCTACCAAATTTCGTGCAAATCGAAAGATATATAGGGACCGTTTACATTAAATCGGTTAAATATATATATGGGAGCTATATCTAAATCTGAACCGATTTTTCCCAATTTCAATAGGGTTCGTCCTTGGGCCAAGTAAGTGACCTGTGCCAAATTTCA